TTGTCGATCGATTCACGGGTTTTGTCGATCGATTGACGGGTTTTGTCAATCGATTGACGGGTTTTGTCGATCGATTGACGGATTTTCCGACCGATATACGGGTTTTATTAATCGATTCACGGGTTTGTCTAACGCGAATCGATATATCGAATACCGCGAGACTGACATATTTACAAGATCAGTCTGTGGCATCGATGCACCGGTTACCGTTAAATGCGTAAAAAGACGTTGACCTCGGAAGGTCATGATTATCATTAAACTTGACACAACGGGAGGTTTTTTTCATTCCGCGATTTACAGCCGCGAGCATCGGTGACGAAGAGTCTACTCATCATTTTCCCGCGTGATGTATTTGCGGGATCGCGTAGCCGGCGTTTAAATTGACAGCTCCACAGCGCCGCACAGTGAAGCCAGTCACTAGGAGAAGTTAGACATAATGTGGAAAACTTTAAAAGCTTAGGTCTTTGGCTTAAAAAGAGTTTCATCTGGTTGTTTACAAAATTTCCTGTCAATATAGCACCTCTGAAATTTTATATTGACACAAAGTAAACATGAAAATTAGCGGTTTTCGTGCAAAATTTCATGTCCAACTTCTTCCAGTGGCTCGATCCACAGTGCGCCGTGCACACCACTTAACAACGACGACCTCATCCATGAACTCTCTGGCATCGGAATAGTGGGCGTTCTGAGAGTGAGCGGCGTTTTGACGGTAAAAATGCTAAAGCGCGTACTTTGATTGCGGTGTTTCAAATCTGCGTTCCTGTTTATTTTTTTAAAAAGAGACCTAATCGTCGATATGGTTTGAAATTTTTAAAGAATAATCTTCACACAGAGAAGAAATGGACATCATTTTACAATTAGGGGCTACAGTTACTGGCCCATCTGTAAAAAACACTAATGTGCATAGGAAAACTAATGGTACTTGCGGTGTGTCCAAACTGAGCCAGAAATTGTACTTCGAAATGCAAAATGCAGTTCAGGTATATGTGTCACCGAGTGTTTTAAGGCCTGACGTTGACTAGTTTTTTATTTGCAATTTTACCCGTGCAGAGTATATTTATTTGGCTGCATCTCTTATGTGCATAACAGACCCATTTTACGATGGACGGAGGAATCATTTCATAAAATTTTTTGCGCGGGCTGCTAGGTTCATTTTCTTCACGCATCATCATTACACTGCTGCTCTCTTTGGTAGCACGGCAAAGCTACGTACCACAAGTGGAATTCAATCCGGCATCGAACCACGGGTTGTGTTGGACGGTGAATTTATGGTGGTTCGTTGAGAGCCCGTGGTTCGGTGCGTTGGGGTTTGCCAAGTACTGGCTACAGGTCTGCACTGCCGTGCTAAGGAAAAAAGCTGTATAAAACTTCGTCGGTTGCCAAATTTCCTTTCATTAAATGCAAATTCTCGGGAAAAATGAGTGAATATTTTCCGTTCCATTTTTCGGAAGATTTTCTTCGTAATAACATCCAAATTATCTGAAAATTTCAAGAAAAAGTGTTCATAACTATCCTTAAAAATAGACATTTTACTTGAGAANTCGAGTACGAATAGTTGTATCTCTGCGCCGTCATCAACGCGCACCCTTTCCCTCGCTCTATTTCCACATTGTGTTAGTTCCCGTTTGTTTTATTTACATTGGCACTTCGCGAGCTACGTTAGCAACACAACTGAAGATAAAAGAGACGTAATCGAGCCTTATTTTTTTTTTAGAATTCCTCCCGCATTTTCGAAAAATGAAAACGTGAACCGATCGACAGCGACTCGACTGCAAGTTCGATGGATTGACGGTGCTGTCGATCGTTTCACGAATTGTCGATCGATTGACGGATTTTCTGACTGATTCACAGGTTTTGTCGATCGATTCACGGGTTTTGTCGATCGATTCACGGGTTTTGTCGATCGATTGACGGGTTTTGTCGATCGATTGACGGATTTTCCGACTGATATACGGGTTTTAATAATCGATTCACGGGTTTGTCTAACGCGAATCGATATATCGAATACCGCGAGACTCACATATTTACTAGATCAGTCTGTGGCATCGATGCATCCATTGGTTACCGTTAAATGCGTAAAAAGACGTTGACCTCGGAAGGTCATGATTATCATTAAACTTGACACAACGGGAGGTTTTTTTTTTCATTCCGCGATTTACAGCCGCGAGCATCGGTGACGAAGAGTCTACTCATCATTTTCCCGCGTGATGTATTTGCGGGATCGCGTAGCCGGCGTTTAAATTGACAGCTCCACGGCGCCGCACAGTGAAGCGAGTCTCTTGGAGAAGTCGGACATAATATGGAAAACTTTAAAAGCTTAGGTCTTTATTGACGCGAAGCGTAGAGGCCTAAAAAGAGTTTGATCTGGTTGTTTACAAAATTTCCTGTCAATATAGCACCTCTGAAATTTTATATTGACACAAAGTAAACATGAAAATTCGCGGTTTTCGTGCAAAATTTCATGTCCAACTTCTTCCGGTGGCTCGATCCACAGTGCGCCGTGCACACCACTTAACAACGACAACCTCATCCATGAACTCTCTGGCATCGGAATAGTGGGCGTTCTGAGAGTGAGCGGCGTTTTGACGGTAAAAATGCTAAAGCGCGTACCTCGATTGCGGTGTTTCAAATCTGCGTCCCTGTTTATTTTTTTTAAAAGAGACCTAATCGTCGATACGGTTTGAAATTTTTAAAGAATAATCTTCACACAGAGAAGAAATGAACCTCATTTTGCAATTGGGGACTACAGTTACTGGCTTATTTGTAAAAAAACTTATGTACGCAGGAAAACTAATGGTACTTACGTTGTTTCAGAACTGAGCCAGAAATTGTACTCCGAAATGCAGAACGTAGTTCCGATATATGTATCACCGAGTTTTTGACGGATTGACGTGTTGAAAAGTTTTTTATTTGCGATTTTACCCGTGCAGAGTATATTTATTTGGCTGTATCGCTTGCGTGTAACAAACCCATTTTACGATGAACGGAGGAATCATTTCATAGAATGTTTTGCGCGGGCTGCTAGGTTCATTTTCTTCACGCATCATCATTACACTGCTGCCCTCTGGAGTAGCACGGCATAACCACGTACCACATCACAAGTGGTATTCAATCCGGCATCGAACCACAGGTTCTGTTGGACGGTGAATTTATGGTGGTTCGTTGAAAGCCCGTGGTTCAGTGCGTTGGGGTTTGCCAAGTACTGGCTACAGGTCTGCAAGCGTTACTCCATCGATGACAAAGACGCAGGATCGAACAGAGTTCTGTCTGTGCTCCCTGGCGGGCATAAATAACCCTCTGTCAAAATTCAGGCTCTTCTCGAATCATGCCACGACTTATTTTTCAGTGCTCCTATTCACACTTCATAGCAAGTGCCTGATTACAAGCGGCATCGGATTAGGGTATTTTGTTCCATTCCAATTTTCAATCCAAAGAATGAGAGTCTGAAAGTATGGTCCAGAGGTGAAGTAGAAGTGGGCAGTGCAAGGGGTCAGTTGCGCTAGTCATAGAATCGTGTTTTAATGATTTAAGAGTATTCATCAGCAGTCACTATTAAGAGTTGTCCAATTATGAAGTTTATTAATCAGTAGATCACATTTTAATGGAAATAAATATCGACCTTCAAAGACCATCGCATAAAGACGTCATCTACCGCGATGATACATCCTATGTTTTCTTCCGCCTTGGTTTCATCCGAGTTTTAAGCCGAGCGACCGGTGCAAATATGTGCGTTTACTACTTGATGAATTCAAGGTGGAAGAAACCATGGTACGTACTGCCGCGATGAAAGACGCCAGGTGCCATGTTTTTTGAACTGCAATATCTCCTTAAAATTGGACATAGAGACAAGGGGTTCCAATGGATTTTTATGTCTTACTAATTTATAACTTTCAGCCATCAAAATACGAGTCTGTGAGTAGCGCAACAAACCCAGTGTAGTGAAGTCAAGGGTCGATTCAGCGCTGAATGACACGTTCCGTTCATGACATCCAGAGAAGAAGGGATGGGGTCAAAAAATGTAAAAAAGAAAAAAATAATAACTTGACGTAATTTGAATCACCAGTGAGAATGAAAGCACACCGACTCGGAGACTGTAGAATGCTTAATTTTCAGAACGGCCATTGAAGATGGCAAATTTATTTCAACTTGAGCTTTAGCTTTTTCTTCAACTAACATATCCACCTACTGTGCAGGTCATTTAATTGGTGCCGAATGACACAATTCGGTTCGGCGCGAAACGGGCGTTTCAAATTGGCGGAAAAGTTGCGTTTTTTGAACTGAACATTGCTGCGTAGCTTGTGCTCGGGTTACTTTTTTGCGTTTTTAAGGTGCGCATCGTTTTCTATATACGTCATTGATCTTAAGAAAAATTTATTCACGAGTCAAAATTCTTTCATCTCATCATCCTTGAGCACCTGCGTAACTGTCATTTGCTACACAGCAATGCTATTTACAACTAATGTGGATTTTCTCAAATTTTGCCTTTGTAAAGCGAACTTCATTGCTCTTGTTTGTTCTCATAGTTGCCCTGTTTTGTATCTTTTCTTTAATATTTGTACTTATTTTCTCATGTATCTTGTTCTTTAGAGAAAAGAAAGAAAAAGAAAAAAAAAACAAAGAAGAAGGTAAAATTGTTAAAATACGTATATTATTTGGTGGCTCTTTCCATGATATAAAGAGAACGTATGAGTCTTGCGGAGGAAAGAGAGGAGTTTCGGGTGGTCGCGGGGGCGGGGGCGTCTTGGGAGACGGATGAGCCGAGATAGGTCGTCGCGACGTCGGTGGAGGCTCCCGGAGCCAGGGTCACGGCGGGTGGCGGGCGGGTGAAAGGTCCCCGGCCGGTAGAAGGGATACGGGGGCATAAAACCCTAGAATCCCGCTCGGCGAACCTTTTTTCGAGTGAAAAGTCTATAAATGTTACTGGCGCCCGGCGCTCGTCTTCCATTCGTGCGCTTGAGTCTCCGCGGAGTGAACGAGGATTCCCCGAACCCGACGCCGACACCCCCTCCCATCATGATCCAGGTATGTTACCTGTCCTTTGTCCTCCCACCGGCTTTCAAAGCTCCGTGAACTTTCCTCACACGACGCCCTGTGGGAACCAGGCTTACGCAGGCGGGCTTTCGAGATTGAGTACATGGTTTCTGTAAACTTAAGGGGGGGAAATTTCCTCGCTTTTCCAGGTTTTCCGTCTCTAGAACATTGGAAAAAGAAACACATTGGATCTAGAGTCCAGACTCTTAAAAACGTCGACAAGAAAAAATACTCTTGATTCAATCATATTTAAGCTTAAATCAAGAACCAAGCCTCTTAATTTGAGCGGATTTCCTTTTGATTTAAGCTTAAATATGATCGAATCAAGAGTCCTTTTTCTTGTCAACGTTTTCAAGAGTCTGGACTCTGGATCCAATGTAATTTTTTCCCCAGTGAATTATCAAACTTCCCTGACTTTTTGCACGGACAATTGGACCGCGTTTGGCAGAAAGGAACCAAGCTTCATCAGCTGTCGTCAAATTTAACTGGGCTATGTAATTTTTTACAAGAGAAAATGTGTACCGATCTCTTTGAAAATGTTGGAGAATTTGCGTCGAGCTGTGCGTGTAATTTGCACAAAAATCCGCACAACCGTTTACGTGTAAAAAATCAAATTGCCGTGTTGAATTTTGCAATAGCCGATGTGGCTTGGTTTCTTTCTGCTGAACGCGGTCCAATCGAGGCGTTAGAAGCAAGAAAAGCATATCTTGGTTGCGGTGTTTCAGAATCTCGACTGCTAATTTATACTTTAGAGGAGAAACTAGTAGGTAAATTGTCTGAAATATTTCGTTTTCAGCATGTAGAATCATGAAGAAAATTCAGTAAAAGCTTCATCGACTTCCATACACTTGCGCAATCACACACACCACTTCATCTCAGTGAATGCGACGTTAACGGAGATTCGGAAACACCGCAATCAAGAAACACTTCGCACACTTAAGACTTGAAAAATGCCCACATTTTTCTAACTTTTCTCTCTAAAGTCATGAACCTTCCCTGGCTTGTAGCATGGACAATTTGCACGCGTAGAACTGAAAATGAGACGATTTTGCCATTAATTTTACTGCGAGTGACAGAAATATGTAAAGCCTTTTTCATTCTGGTATTGACTCTTCCAGTAACTAAATAGACCACTCGACGTGGTGAGAAATTAGCCACTACAACACAAAATCAACGTAGGACAAATTAGGCATCAAAATCAAGCTGCATAATAGGCAAATAAATAGAGCTTGATATCGTTAGTTCAGATTAAAATGTCAATATTTGAATTGACCTCAAAAGCTGAGTCAAAAACTGAATTGTTGCAATCGATGACCAGAAAGCAGCGAATATCACTCAACTCTTGTCTTTGACTCCTGCTAGCTGTTTTGTTTGCATAGTTGGTATACCTTATAAGCCAAATTTCATTAAACAATTGAATGCTATTTGATCGCAAAAATTTGCCTTCTTGAGCCTGGCTCAGAGTTTGACTGTCTACTCACTGCAAATAGGAAAAAATTCCCAGACTCTTGATGAATTTTCCGTGGTTACTCTTTCCCAAAAATAACAAAATTTCTCCAAATTTTAGTAAGAGACGGGCACATAAAATGGCATTTTCATCTGCTTAAAAAAAAAATTCCTTTCAGTTCTTAGTTTGAAACTCTAAGTTCTCAGTTTTCTTTTAAGACAGTTAAATTTTTCACTTTTACTGTTGGCATTTGCCAAAATTTTAATTCTGATGTATATAGAACCTCTACGGTAGAGACAAACACAGCAAAAGGAAATAATTTACAATAACAGGCTTGCATTGCCTTGCTTTCCTTCACATTCTTGGGTGAAATTGTTTCCTGAATTGTTCTACCGTTTCCCTACTTTTCAACTCGCTCTGTAGATTAATATCTTGTTTCGATGCTTACACCTTTGTGATTATTTTATTGTATAATACGAACTGTCCGAGCACTCTGAATGCCTACAGTTTTTACACCTAAAATTAACGGATGTACGATGCTTTTAAAACATGAAGGATGAAGTCACTAAAGTAATGATGCATATCATGGTCTCTCCAGCCATAGTTCCATTACTGTTATAATCTTAATGTGACCATTTGGATGAAGATGTGAGTGTGCCAGAGAAAACTATGGTATGCACCAACACGACGAATGACATCATGGTCATATGTCGTGTAAATCATTTAATATTTTAATGAAAAATACTTAACTTCTGTGCAAGTCATAATATTTTTGCTGATCTGATAACGTAAATTCAACAGAGTGAGAACGATTAGTTACAAGCGCGACTAAGTTCATTGACAACTTGATTGAATTTTACATTTCTCGGTGTCAAATTTTCATGATCGAAGGTCAGAGATTACAAAATACTTGCACAAGATAACGGAAAATTGGCAGCGTTAAGGTAGCCTTTCTTGATAGCTGCATATTTTAAATCCAACTACGCCAATTTCTTTCTGATGCCTAAGATAAGTCTTTCGAATATGAGGCAACCAATGTTATCTTTTAAGAGAGGCGCTTAAACAAAGGCGCTATAATTTTGTGAGTTTGCTTTTTACAACGATGGTCTTTACTTGAAACCCAATGATATTTAATATTTAATTTCTTTTCAAGTCTTGAAAGACACTGCTTTCCTATAGCATAAATACTTCGAGGGCATCACCTAATACTGCAAAGTTTAAATAATATTATTCTGGCAAATTATGAAAGAGTAAGGGATGGATAAGTGTAATACCGGACTACGCAAGTCTATGGCTACCACGAATAAACATCTAATTATTCGGTTCTTTATCCCTGCTTTCTCTTCATTTTATTTTGACTGANTATAAAATACTTGCACAAAATAACCGAAAATTAGCAGCATTAAAGGTAGCCCTTTTTGATAGCTGCATATTTTAAATCCAACTACGCCAATTTCTTTCTGATGCCTAAGATAAGTCTTTCGAATATGAGGCAACCAATGTTATCTTTTAAGAGAGGCGCTTAAACACAGGCGCTATAATTTTGTGAGTTTGCTTTTTACAACGATGGTCTTTACTTGAAACCCAATGATATTTAATATTTAATTTCTTTTCAAGTCTTGAAAGACACTGATTTCCTATAGCATAAATACTTCGAGGGCATCAGCTAATACTGCAAAGTTTAAATAATATTATTCTGGCAAATTATGAAAGAGCAAGGGATGGATAAGTGCAATACCGGACTACGCAAGTCTATGGCTACCACGAATAAACATCTAATTATTCGGTTCTTTATCCCTGCTTTCTCTTCATTTTATTTTGACTGATCTGGCTCTAACGACCCACTTACATTTTTTCGGCAATCCTCTCTAATTTTTCAAAACGAAAGTTTTAAACGAGCAACCATCATTTGCACGACGTGCCTGCACCCACTTCGTTTTAACGAGCTTTTTCGTTCACTGTTGACGTCATTAAGATTGGTCGTCGAGAGCATCTCGCCGCGAGATAAGGATCTGGGCGTCTATCGCTGCAGTCTCGTCTTGAATAATAATAAACCATTTCCAATTAGGTACTTACAGTTGGTTTGTAACATGCGTCCCTATCGCTGATGCCACAATAAAATGGCAGCAGTAATTTACATTTTACTTTTTGTCCTGGTCGGAGAAAAATTTCACGAAATTCAAGCTCAGGGATTGCGCAAATCGTATATTCAGCCTTTTGACTTAAGAGCGCACCGCAATTTTAACGATGATCTTGTTTTACATATAAACCCATCATTTCTGGGGCTCATTTGAAAATAGAGGTTACGCTAGAGGAGCGAGAATATGATGTTCATAGGATCAAAATGAGAAATCTACACTTTTAATGGGGTAATCGAGTCATTCATTGATTCGTTGGAGAATTTTTACGCCTTTTTGGAATATGAAGTACGTCTGGATCAAAAAATACACTAGACATGCTAAAATTTTCGATTTCAGTTCATTCTTAAGCTCTCAATTAATGATATCGATACTTAAAAATTTTAGTTGATGTTTTAATTCATCAATAAGTGTTTGAAACAATTTTTAAAGTAAAAACAACTTGGCGACTAATTATGGTCAGTAAAATCCAAGAATTACGATACAAACAGAAAATCTACAATTTTTGCCTTAGTTTATTTGAAAACCCTAGCATTTTTGGTGCTCCAAATTTTAAAAAGTGAAACGTTTCGGCATCTGCTAAAAGGATCGATCAACAATCACCAAAATTACTTTTATACGCGATTTTCCGAAAGTTGAAAAAGTTGGAGATTGTTCGTATTGCTGAAATAGTCTAAGATCACAAAATTCATTGAAAATATAGCCCAACGAAAACAGCTGTCCGTATGAAAAGTTAATGGTTGGGGAGTCAAATTTATATCCTGGCAACCGTGTTCTGCTGGGATTATAATTGATCGAAGCTCTGAAGAGAACAAGTTCATTACAACAACTTACATCAGCCGTTTGAAGTCAAGACCAGTGGCGAGGCGTGAATGATCGATTACCGATATTTCCCCCATTTGAGGCTGTGATAAAGAATCGATTATTAAAGTGTTAAGTATTAAGTGTAAAGTTGCGAACACCTTAATAATCGATCTTTCTCCATATGTTTAAATGACAGATGAATCGATATACTGCAAAGCGCGCCACGCCACTGCACGAGACAAGGGCAGGAACGACCAGAAGCGAGATGCGCATTGCGCATGCTCCTCCTCGCCTCCTTCGATACAAAGTAAGTCCATCGAGATCGAGAGTCGAGTCGGATTCATTGGAGGATCCAGCAAATTGGCAACGTTGCTTTTCTCCATTTAAACCTATGGAAATGTATCGATTCTTAGAGGGGGCAAGTGCTCCGACAAGAATCGATTATTTAACATAGCTTTAAATGGAGAAAATCCGGCGTTGCCAAATTGCTGGATCCGCCTCTGGTCGGATTAGTCATTCGTTGTAACCCGAGGTCCAAAAATATTCAGGAGGTGGATGGGGATAGATACCTATGTGGTATTTTATGAAATTTATTCAGGTGC